AAAAAATACCTGAGTCTCGCCACATGGTACACACAGGATGTTGACATGTTCAAAATAAATACAGATTTTGAATGGACCAACAATTTCCGGAGCAGTAAACACATTTTTTAGTCCTATACGAGTTTGGATTACATACATATAAATCGTAAAAAGAAATCCATAATAACTTGATAAAAATATACTCAGCATTTTTAGTGTAAAATAATTACACTGATTCGGGAAAAAAAGAACATGTGAAAGGAAAAGTGCAATTGTATAGAAGAATACAACAAAAAAAGTGCAAATTATTTGTATGAATAATAATTGAATATATACAAGAATAATAAATTGGAGTTTTTCCCAAGTCATAAAGGGAAAAAATATAAGTACTGTATGTAGTACAAAAACGCAGCATAAAAATGTGTATTGGCATTCTATAAATAACATGTGTTTTTCCCTTAGAATATATCACGCGACTTCAGGGGTTTTCCATTAACAGTAAGTGCACGTGGATATGGAGTTTCACAAATACATGTGGTAAGCCTATATTAATTTATGTACTTTAGGTTTAATTCAAGCAGTATATACATTATTAATTATGTTCACAAAATACAATAGACAAGATTTTAAACCGGTGACCGGGTCTGCATTGTCAGACTGGGCTCTGACATCTTGATAATATTAACACTCAGTTTGGCCCGTAGCGGAAAGTCCAACTGTTTCCATGACCGCACTGGCGTATGTTTTTGTTTGAGTATCTGCACCATGCAGGTTTAAGACAACTTCAAGTCAAATAAGGCTTATACTTAAACAACAGTATCGTAACAATCATCATAATGAATAGACCAATGGCATTTAAAACAAAAAAAAAAAAACAAAACAAAAACAAACTCAAATTCATCTGAGCTTTAACATGAAAACGTAACTATGACATTTTTAAATGTTTAAAACACGAATGATCATTTTAATGAAAAAATAGACGATATGACATGAGATCTTATGTAAAGGAGGAGAATATGAATAAAAGAATTACCGGTACTTAACTCATCGATAGGTCATAGGACCACTCCGCTCATCTTAGTCAGATTTATCTTCCTTGCAAATCGATTTTTTCTAATTAAATTGAAACACAAAAATTTCGCCATTTTTTACAAATAATTATTTTGATACTTTATGTTATTCCTATTTTTCTATTTATTTTACGCCATATATAGAACCATCTTTAAAGGAATGTTTACTTGTCCTCTCTTGACTCAGGGTAAAATTACTGGGTCGGTAGATAGGTGGGAAAATCTTTTTTTCCTGGTAATATCAACATATGTCTTTATGGGATAGGTGGAATAAAACGAAAAAGGTGTCCTGGAATGAATAAAAGGGGAAAAATAAGTTGTACCACTTTTAGTCAGGCGGTAGGGAGAGGGCAACCAAACATTTTTTAGATGGCTTAGCTTAGGCTTAAAAACTGGGGCAGGTCTACTTCATATTGAAAAGCTTACTGTGACCAAACACAATATATTCCATTCATTATTGTCGCTGGTTAAGGGAGCCAAATGGGGTTTTATTGTGTAAAAACTACGATAAAATAGCCCTTTAATTCCTTACATTTACTTCACTGTACATTCCAAGTTTAGGGAAATTCTTTTCATCATTGTTTATTGCAGGGACCTTCTCATAATACAAGTGCAATAACCATAGGATAAGACAAATAGTGCTAATTTTTCGCCCAAGCCCCCCCCCCCCCTTCTCTTTCAATCCCACACAGGAAGGTATTGATAGTTCAGTGATTGCAATGCACTTTTCGGTATGATGTAATCAATGGAAAATCTTATGCAAATAATGTGCAGTGAGAGGCTTATCAAGTATTTCTTCACAGTGAAAAATGGATTTTATCAGTAAATTAAATATTATCTACGGATTTTACGTTGTCCATTAAACAATTGCAAAAATTTGTTTAAATGCCATAAAAAATAATCATACCTAGAACATATCTTCAATCCTGTTGATTGTTTGGTGAAAATCTGACAAATGTTGTTGAGAAGTATATTTTTTTAGCGACTAATAAATTCAATTTTCCTAATTATCATTCTTTGTTGAAGGATATCGTTTGTTTTAGTTGCAAAAAGATGCTCTTTTGCCAAGGATTCTTGTCACAAATTTGACATTAATAAGTCAAGGGATTTCTGAGATTTGGTCCATATTAGAAAAAGTTGACGCGCACCGCACATCGCACGAATGGTCAAAGCGATAGTACTTTCTGCCTATAGTTCAGAAGAACTAAATAAACAGAAAATTTTATTTAAGAAAATATAAACAAAAAAAATTAAAGAGACATTCGAAACATTTGTTACTCATAATTTGTATGATATGCTTGCTTGAACTGACTCAATGCACAGCGGCTGTAACCGGTAGACAAGGGGTGCGGTCATATTCGGAGGACCGGTCTTCATGTCCATAGTGGGATTCGAACCTGAGATGTAAGTATTTTATTGAAGAACAGCATCTTCCTAAAAATATTATTTTCTGTCCCAAATGAGAACGCCTTTGGTTTCAGTACTATGTCTCCCTTGATGCTGGAGGAGAGTTTATTCAGTGATCTTTAGATTGCAATATCACCGTGCAAAGGGGCACATTTAAAGATACGGTTAAGTATCATATCGAGTTTTAACTCTGAAGCGAGTGTTTGAGAGATGAGGCGGTTACTTTTGTAAAAATTCTTAGCTAAAGAATTCTTAGGGGCCAAACGACCGGTGCACGGGTTGTAAGAATGTATTAGCTTCAATTTAGTGCAAAATTTTGTTTCAAAGCGATATGAATTTTGCTTACATTTCTGGACAGTTCAGCCGACTCACAAAGTTATGGTTTTGCTAACATAGTGCGCTTTTTATATAAAAGTGACATTTTTAGCTCATTTTAATGATGTTATATAAAGACTGATACAAAGCAATATATATAAAAAAAAATTTTTAATTAATTTTTGTTAAAAATGTAAACTTTTGTGACCAAATTTCGATGTCCCTAACTAGTTTTTGAAGGATCGTTAACATAAAGGGGCTTCAACTAGAGGCTTTTTTCCTTTTCTCTTTATCCTTTCATATGATTAAACGACACTGTGGCAGAAAAGGAAATCTTTGGCTTTCAAAGCCTAGAACAGGATGAGGAAACTACCGTATATGGATATTGTTGTCATTGCGTACAGAGGTGCTCACAGAAAACAATGGTCTGATCCAGTGAATGAGCCGAAAATCAAGATGATCTACTACATGTTTATTTTTAGTACAAACACGTGGGTCAGGGAAATTAAGGACGCAATTTCAAATGACAGCAGTGTAGTCAACTTACTTTTTGTTAGTGTGTTTGTGAAAAATACGAAGAATAGGTAAAAATTAAGATTTTCCATGGTCACATTAACAAACAACATCAATTTTCCTTGATAAATAGTATTTGAAATACCGCTCAGTCGATGAGCTGAGTGTCTTAAGTGTAAATAAGAATCCAGTTTTTTTTAAATCCGATATTCGTAAATTTTATAACCTTTTTTATTTACAATTTATTGATTCTCGTGTACTTTAATCATAGAACGTGACTTGAGTAGCATTTATTTCGAAAATGTATACGTTGTAAACAATGGCAACACGTGAGAAAACCTGAGAGTTGATTGTTTTGGACCAAGGAATAGTCACGTGAAATTTATTTTTCATTGAGAGTACGGCACGGGAAAATTGTCAACAAACAAATTTGTACAATGGAGTGGAGAAAACTTTTATTTTACCATTGTAAATATCTTTTATGTAAATGTGGTCATGGAATTAGTAGATCATAATGTACATGTTGTATAAATGAAGGATATGAATATAACCAACAGTATTCAATATCAAAGTCCATAAAACGATACAAAATAGGAACAGAGCAAAAACGGACCTCCAAAACATCAGAGGTGAGATCAGGTGCCATTGAGGAGGGTGTATCACCGGTTACACCCGTCTTGTGCTCCTTTTCATAAACGGGAAATAACGGAGAAATCCGTCGTAAATTAAGTTTATAAATGAAAACAAACAATTAGTATGAGAAACACCAGTAAGCATTTGACTCAATGATAAATTGAATTTGCTGACAGGTCATTGTATCGACCCAAGAACTTACGAAATGATGACTTTAAACGAGACTGCTTTTAGTCTTGTTTCATCAGCTTGTTTGCAAATAATATACCTCGTTTTAGAAATTGTTCATATATACGTAGAGCATGCTCTTTCGTATCGATTCAACTGAAATATGTAAACGCCGTCTGCAGGTGATGAAGGAATATTTCTCTATGTGTATGGGAAGTTGACGATAGAAAGGATAAAATCATCACGTTTTTCATTGACCTTGGTTGTTAGTTGTTGGTGATACATTAAAAAATTCCTTGAAGTAGGTCTAATGCTATTCAAAAGCGCTTAAAACAGTTGAGGAACATAATTGAACGATTACAATGAAGCAGATTTGGACCTTTCTGTTGATCATTTCTTCACTTCCACTACTTCCAAATTGTTCAGACTTTCTTGAAAATGAAAAAAGATGCAAAGATAAAAAAAAATATTTAATGTACATATATATTTTTTGTTTATACTTCTTGTTCCTGATCAATAAATAATTAAAAAAAACTCAAGATAACATAAACAAATTTTTGAGCAATTATTATTGAATGATGATGTTTTGCAAGTATTTGGTAGTTCTAAGTTGTTCGTTTGATAGCATTTTCAAAGCTGTTGTGAAAGCATGGAAATTAATAACTTGTACTCTTCATTCATTGTCAATTATTACATGTAAGTAGTTACCTTAGTCATATATTTTTTAAATAAAACTGCTTCAAAACTGGCAAGCTAATCATTTTTAACGGTTTCCTTCTATTTGAGTAGGGTTGGGGGAAATAGAGAAGATCAAAATTTTAAAATGATATATATAAAACCTGCATACTTATATCATTATCCTACAATCAATATCTATAGACATTTCTATACTCACTCTTGTACACGTAATCTTAACGCTTTTCTGTAGCAAGATTGATCTGGAATAGAACGGTTAAAACTAATTTTCATTAACATTTTTCATTAACATTAACATTTATTTCCCATACTTATACGAGGTTTGTTCATTAAAAAAATTCCTAAACTCTATGGCATACAACACAGACATCATATTCCATTAAGCTTTACGTTCTCTCATGATTTAATCTTCAATGATTTGATATCAGTTAATGTGGACACACTTTTCATCTCATATTTCCATTGTGAGAAGCTGGAAAACAAGGATATTCGAGACACTGCATTAAATATGAATGGTAAAGAATCAGTAAACTAGATTGAAATTAAACGCATTATTAAAGCTGCCGTAAAACTTGTTGAGAATTCCAAAGAAATATTCAATGAAATTAGTAAATTGCACCGCATCTGATGTCTGTATTAGACATACATGTATGAGCAGGTGGATGTTATATGTCATAAACAATAGAGATATAATGGGCATCAAAAAATGGATACTGTCCTGGGTGACAAGGACTTACAGCAACCAATGTACAGTTTGTAAACAAACTATAACATTAACCTATGATGTTTGATTGACTTTGAGACACATATCAAAGAATGACTGCACTTAAGGACGTTATTTGGAACCTTTTCGGCTACCCATTTGAAGCTTAACATTACAATAAATCGCTGAAATAATCTATGATTAATGTGCAAGCATATGCTTTTAACATATATTTCTATAATTTTTCGTCATACATATTTCAATAATTACATACAACGCTACTGAAAAGAACATGTTTAACCAATAAAATTCCGGAAAATTGAACTGGACCGCTTTCGATTTTAAGGTCGCAGCAAAGGGGCGGAGACATTTAAATCGCATGGAAATGGATCATAAGCGCATGGTTTTTCGTATTTGACTTATATTATGTACATATATAAAAAAAGACCGAGAAAATGGTTTTGTGTTCATTTTGTACGTCGTCAAATAAATGATTTATAACCATGCATATAATTTCATTAATTTGTATCCACGTAAGTAAGTAAAGAGCAGAATATTAAGAAAAAAATTCAAAAAAATAAACACAATTGTGATAAATATATGTATGCATTTTGTACCCTTAGGTTGGTAGTGCCTTTTTGAGAATTATTGGTAGATGAAAAAGACACTGAAATACATTTTATTTTCTGAACATAATGGTCTGTTTTCGCATAAATGAAAAATAATTTGCAACCTGTCTATATGATAATCTGAAATAAGTACACACAGTAAATCCATATATGACCTTGCCATTTGATTATTGGCAGAGTTAATTTTCAAAAAAAGTTTTGATCGGTATTAAGAGTACAAAGGACAATGCATTAATATATAAAAAAATGAATTTCGGCTTCTACATTATCAAGCACTGCATATTTTTCTCTATCTAACGTTCTTATGAAATTGGAATGTTTAAAATTCACAGCTTATGTATTATTTGCTGTCAAGCAGCGAATTAACTAAATCTTAGAATTATTAAGTGTTCGTACCTATAGTGTATTAAAAAAAAAAATGACATTTTCACTTTATCTTAATCGTATTGAATAATAATTTTGGACTTATTAGTAACGAAAAAAAAAAACCTAAAAAAAGGTTTTCTTTTATGATGACTAGGGGCTTCTACCATATAAAACTGGTCGGGCTCTTGTTTTCAAATTTCTGGATCCGCCACTGCTATATGTACAGCATGTAATCAGCAAAATAATACCTTTTTCCTTTAAAATACCCCAAACAAAAACACTGTTGTGAAAGAAATCAACTTAAAGCCGCTTGGTCCGATTCTAATCGCTAAAAATACATATTCGATTTTCTTCTTGAAAAATAATTGTCCATAAATTGTTTCAACTTTTGTCAAATTATATCCCCAAAGTCCTTTTCTTTTAAAAGATATCAAAATTCAAAAGTTAAAAAAATAATTTTTGTTAGGTCACACAAAAAATAATGCTATGTTGATCATTGTTGATATAGCGTGAAATCACCTTCGAAAAATTAAATTTATCGCTTACATGTTTATCTCATGAAGAATACACCCGAGCATTTTTTTTCACAACAAAGTACATATATCACCTGCACACGGACAATATTTTAGCTCCCTTAAAAAATAATTTAAAACATCTGATTTTCCTTTATTCTTTAAATATGCATATCAATATAAAAACTACTATGGATTATATTCCATTAATTTCTTTATTTTTGAAAAGATGTATTATCACTAAGGCTTCTAATAATAAAGAAAAAAAAATACTCGGGTTTGAATTACCATCATTATTAGATATATCCGATAAACTTATTTTTTTCAAAATTGACTTTACAACAGATCTTAACTTCCGTCAGGAACTTGTTTGTCAATAAGGTTTTTGATCTATGTTTTCCTTGTAAGGATTGTTGTAATAAACTATTAAATCAATCTTATAATTTATTTTTATATATTTTCTATGTAGTGAAGTACTTTTATTGTGTAAGATAATATGTGCTCGGATTAAGCGGCTTTAAACTTTAAAACGCTAATAAAATGTACGCAAGGATCTTCAATATTTTGAAGATGGAAATACATGTAGATATGAAAAGAATTTTCCAACGACTGACACAATGAAAGCGTGTCGAACACTTGAATGTCACGTGAGAAAAGTGATTATAATATCAAAGGGGTCACATGGGCTGAAACTCGTAACCTGCTAATTTAGAAGCTATCTCGAGCGAAGTTTGGGTACATTTTTTTTTTAAATTAGATATGAGCCGCAACTTGACCCACATTGTCCTTCGGATATGTATAAGTTTTAATTAAAATACACATTCTGTGCAAATGAGAAAAATGGTCAAGTTGCGGCTCGATGTAAACAATGTCGTTGAAAACTGGTTTGCATATGAATAACAATAGAAATGAGACAAAACTGTTAGACCCCTGTTTCAAAAGCTAGTGTCGCTCGGCATTATTTAATACTTTCATGTATTATAATAAACCAAAACCTGCTCTTAAGATATTGTTTAATACCTATAAAACATAAATTTAACGAATTTTGGAATTTTATTTTGCGCAAATCATTGGGATCCAACTCTCATAGCTTAAGTGCAGTCATTCTTTGCTAGGAATCAATTTTGGGGTAGTGTACACTATTTGTAAGAAACATTTTTCAGTAAAAGAGCATAGCACTCAATGAAAATCCTATATTTTGAAAAATGAGAGAAAACGACAGTGTGTAAGAATATCTAAACAATTAATTAAAAAAAATCAGAAACTGCAGTTATCCACATTTGTTTGAAATTGCACGAGGACAAAGACAGTTTCATATTTTTTTTAATATGTTCGTAGTCTTGTTAAACATCTTATTCGGGGAGGCAGATCAATTTCTGGAAAAGTCTAGAAAGCATTTTTTTTTTCAAAAAAAAAAAAGAAAAAAAAAAGAAAGAAAAGAAAAGAAAACGAGAAACATTTTATCTTAACCTATTTTATATAGGTTATGTTTAATTTACATGTCCATGGAAATTGCACTTTTCCTTTTTTTTGAAAGTTGAAAAATGAATGTCATCTCCTTCAAAAAATGAATTTAACTTAAGTAGAAATTTTGTATTTAAGCGAAACAGGACATTACTTTCTCATCATAAAAATCTGTTAATAATGAATTTCAAACACTCACATTTATAAGCTTTATTCGACATGTATGTTTCAGTGCATTCTCCACAATAGTTTTTGTAATGTTCTTGCACTTTTCCTCCGTCGTAATTGTATTCAGCACAATGACCTATAATGCAGCATCAAATTAACAAACATCTTGTGAAGAACACATCCCCTTAAAAAATAAACACAATACGTTTTGTATGAGATCCCTTATTTGCTTAAAGTCAAACAAATATGCAAACTTATTGATTTGCAGACAAGTCAGCTATACCTTTAATTCCCCCCCCCCACTCCCCCAAGGAATGAAAAGTATTGCATAAGCGATAGACATCAATGCCTTTTGCTTTCAGCTTGTTTAGTGTGACCATTTCATCTACATTTTGCCGTTTAGGATTGTAAAACATACTAAGACCAGATAAACATGGTTCAGTTCATTTTAAAAATCTTTTTTTAAAAACAAGAGGCCCATTGGCATAATACATGTACTTCACCTGAACATCATGTAACAACATTCCAACAACTGAATTTTTAAACCAAAGGCCATGCATTACAATTTTGAAAGAGGCACCATTGCTCATCATAAATATACACTTAACATGCTAAGTTTGGTTACTTAGTACCCATAGAATGAATAGGGAAGCAAAAAAGGCATTTTAAGTAATGAGTAAAAATCAATCAATAATCAGTAGTGCCCTAAACCACAGGAACCCTTGACCCTGGATTCACACATTTCAAAATTTTAGAACAGGCTCCCTTGCTTTTCAAACTGTCGATTTCTACAAAGGAACACATTTCGAAACATTAATTTAATTTCAATATATAATAGAAAGGTTTCCCCTATGGAACCCTTTAAAAGGGTCGTGAAATTCACAAATTGTTGATTGTTTGATTGATTGCATATTGTTAACGTTCCTCTCGAGAATTTTTTCATTCATATGAAGGACCCTTGCTCATCATAAATTTGTAGGTAGTCCATCTATTTAACTCCCAAGAGAAAAGACGATTTTCAAAAAAGTTAATACATTTTCACTTTACAACAAACCTAGCACTTACACCAGAACCCTTGACCCTATGGCTACGAAAATCAAATTTTGAAAAGGCATCCTTGCTCATCATAACGATGTTAGTAGATTGTGTAATACCCCGATGCAGAAAAGGAGATTTTAAAAGAATTTATGGTTTCACTATGAAATTAATAAAGCCCCGCCTTAACCAGAGCTTTACTCTAACTCTTTTCCTATACATCCATTCAGACAATTGACCAAGGCATTTACTTGTCGGACCTTCAACTACATTTGTCTAAGTTTTTTCTCAATATATCAAATAGTGCAACTTTGACCTCTACCAAATTTGGTTGTATTGACAAATACAAGAACAACATAAAATGAAATTTTATATATGCTTTCTGTTCTAACAATATATGTTCAGTAATGAACCTGTAAACATGAAACAGAATAAAAAACTTTGAATCTTGAATTTCGATCCCGATTGAATGTGAACCCAATTAATAGTGATCCCTATTGGGATCGAAGTTTTGTTCTTATGTACTTATGTATGTCTGTTTTGAAACCAACGATGAACATTCAACAGTCGTTTTTTATTTTTTAGATATTCTTTTACATTAAAATACAGTACCCTGCAATATTCACATGTTCACATATTTGCATCTTCTTTTTCTTTATTTTGAGAATTTCCAGCATTAGCAATGAAAATGTTTGCTATCAGTCATTCCAAAAAAAAAAAATTAGGCATCATATCCGGAAAAGAAAAAAAGGATTTTTCCCGGGATTTTAGTACAATACTTATGATTAACAGCTACGAAACCTTGAAAACCCAAAATATTGTTAAAATTTTGATTTCTGTTCAGAGGGCTAAAAAGCAACTTTCGGTAAGGGAATGAAAATTATTCAACCGTTAAATTACTGATTTAGCAAAGCTAAAGATGCCCTAACTTTTTGGCACATAGTTATATCCCGTATATAATTTCACCCTTAAATTAGGGTGTTGCGTTTCTATTGACTGTGAGTATAGTTTGTTCAATTTCATAGAAATAATGCACCTTCGATTCACTATATAATCTATAAAGCCTTGCCTTAGCGCTAGAACCTCTGACCCTGGGGCCATGAATATCACAATTTAGGTAGAGGACTCAAAGCTTATTACAATCATGGCAACAGTTTGACTACATGATGTCCAGGAGTAAAGAACAAGATAGTTTCAGAGAGGCTGAAAATATTCAAATGTTAAAACTCAACGACGTAGTACAACGACAGACGATAACGTTTAGCCATAGTTCACTTGAGTGACTCAGGTATTCTAAGAATAGGTAAAGTAGTCAGAACTAAAAGCTAAAACCTTGAATTAAATGAAACCGAATACAACGGATAAAATTGGATATTTTAAGAACATTTAAGAACATATTTAGTAATTCAAATTAAAAAAAAGATAATTATCAAGCACACAATAAGAAGCCAGAAATTATAGGCTATAAATAGAAAAAAAAACTTGCTTTTCACACGTTTTTATATCATTACCTGGAAGAATTTTAGCTACAGGTGCACATACTTCTACGGTCAAATTACCCCAGGGGTTTATAAGACAGTGATATTCCATCGTGTGTAAGCAGCCCTGCTTATATTTGCATTTCTTTTTTTCTGCAGCTTCCATCCATAATTTTTCATCTGTTGGACAAAATTTCACTACAGTTCTTGTCTCTTTTGAAGGCCCGCAGTATTCAGGATCAATCAAATGCATATTATTTGCACTCACAACATCCTGTAATCATGACGGACTTGTAAAAAAAAAGTTGAAATACATGGAGATAAAGAACAGTACTTAAGCTCAAATGTCCATTAAACAATATAAAATTAAACCTTTAGGGCTTTTTGATATTATCACCTGAATCCCTATGAAGATTGAAATGTTTTATCCATAGACAGGAGGTTTTCTAAGATACATTAGATTTCCAATATAATGTTATAGATTCTTGGAATTTCTTCTTTCCCGTTATTTTCTTCAGAAGAAACCTTATTTAGGGTTGTTGTTCAAAATGTTATTTCGGACTTTCTTTCTGTTTTCATGTTAACAGAACTAATGTCCCTATGGTGGATTCAAAAGATGCCTTCTTTGATATTTAGTTTACAATTTTAAATTGGACTACGTTCAAAAATCATTAGTATGGAAAACAATAAAAAAAATCAAAATATCTTGTATAATTCAATAAAGAGTGAAGTTAAACAGGAGTGCATTTAGTGCCATTATTTCATGGATAGCCCTCGTACTTAGAACAGCACATAGCACTTGAGCAGTTTTGTTAGCTTGAAAATTTTCTCTTCATTCCAAAAATTCATTTTATAAATACTGTTTTTTTTTTAAAAAAAACCTGAATAAAGAAAAGATCATCTTATAAATTCCAAAGATAAATAAGAGTAATTGCAGTTGGATAATTATATATATTTTTAGTCATATTTTTTTATTTGGATAACCCTAGATTTTCCAGTATTAAATATGTGCCTATGGTTCTGCAGGATTGTCTGAAATGAAGCACGTACATACTCGGAGTACATTTAAGGTGAGCAATGGAAATATCGGCTAAATTTTGTATTTAAAAATGTATTCGTAATCGGGATGGCGATTATTTTTAGTAAAATATTTATATCGGATAATTGTAATTATGATTAATAACTATTTCTATATTTAGACTAGTCACGTGATGCGGCAGTCACGCGATTTTAGCACATTGACTTGAAGTATTGATGTTACATATAAATATCACTAGTGCAAGGGCATAACTGAGTTAAATTTCCAAGTTTAGTATATAAAATATTTTCAAAAAGCATTGTAGTTTCTAAAAAATGCTGCGATCCTGTCTAAATTCTGCAATTTCATTGTTAAAATTATACTTGTATGACCGAATGCTATATTTTTTTGCTGGTCAGCGGCATGAAATGTTGATATAATTAAACTGTTTTTATGATTTCATCGGGATCGCAGCACTTTTCAGAAACCTTATTAATTCTTTAGTTGAAATGTAAACGCTTACTTTGATCCATAGAGTGTATGCCCTTGCACGTGATCGATTTATTAAGACCCCCCCCCCCACATTACCCTCCGATGTACTTGTGTTAGCATTCAAATATACGGCAGTGTCAATTAAATACGTAATGTACAGAAAATATATTAATAAAATAGCGAAGAAGACATTAAATTCAAGTTATTGTCCCATGGAATATCTGTAAATAATATTTTATTTAATTTTAGAATACATATATTGTTGAGAAAATATTACTTGATATGTCTCTCACTGCATACAAACTACGTCACGTTGTAAGAAATGACGTCATATGACAAGTGTATTGCGATCGGTGACTTGTTTATAACTTGTTATGTGGGGTTTAACTAACGACAAAACAACTCGCTGTAGTAAGTTTTTATGTAGTTTGCTGATTTCTTACTGGTTAAATTAGCAGATAAACTCATTTGTGGTATTTTAAAGAAATGCTGTATGACGTATATTGTGTATGATGTCATAGGCAGGTTTTTCCAGTAAAAATTAGGCTCCGCCTCCTATTTGTAACCTTAACTGTGCTGCGCTGTTCTCCCAATACAAGAAGCAAATTAAACATGTTATGTAAAATATATAGAATTCTTTTGAAAACTATTTTTATCACAATATCTATGAAACTGAGAACCATCTCGGCAATATTGCGTCTATAGTATTTTCCATCTTGATTCTTGGGCTTCATCGTGCGGCAAATTGTTGCATTAACAAGGTGCTGATGAATTGTAATTCTAATTCCAATCCTGTATTAATGAAACTTTATCAATTCATATAATCAGAATACCCTAACAGTACACACCCTTGTTACTTTCATTTTCAACCAAGCTAGGCCTAATTTGCAATCGTTTGTCTTAGGGCCGACAATGTGACGTCATTCATTGACTAAATCAGTGGAAACTGCCGACATTTTATCAATCTGTTATATCTTATATGCGTTCCCAATTTTTGAAACAGATTTATTCAATTTTGAATGCATGTATTTCATACTATGTTTTGGATTGATTGATTGATTGTATACTGTTTAACGTCTCTCTCCAGAATAGTTCACTGATATGGAGACGTCACCATTGCCGGTGAAGGGCTGCAAATTTAGGCCTATGCTCGGCACTTACGGCCTTTGAGCAGGGAGGGATCTTTATCGTACCACACCTGCTGTGACACGGGGCCTCGGTTTATACAGTCTCATCCGAAGGACCGCCCAATTTAGTCGCCTTTTACGACAAGCAGGGGTTACTGAGGACCTATTCTAACCCGAATCCCCACGGGTACTATGTTTTGGAAAAAACTCAAATAAATGAATTCCCTTGGGGTCAGTGTGTAGACTACATACTCAGCACTACTGAAGAACAGCTATTTTTATGACACTTTAACCAGACTGTAGAAGGAAAGCAATTCTTAACTATTTGTCAATAAAATTTATTTATAAGATTGTCTTTAGGATTATTGTCAACGCATAAAATGCTACAAATTTTAGATTTTTGTGACATAGCGTAATTTCACTCTATTGAACAGTTATTATAAACATAATCTTAGTAGTAATGTTATTATTCAAAGTAATAACAAGTTACATATAACGTTTTGATTATTAATACTTTCATTGCGCCCCCTTGCGCTAATAAGTGATAGAACAACAAGTTCATTGCAATGTCTTTCACGATCAGGATCAATATTAAACACGCTTTCAGCTACAATTGAATCCTGACATACATATAATTATCTGACTATACTGAGTCAATTACATTTTATATATTGGAACTTAAACAAATTTTTTAAAATGCATGCAATCAATAAGAATGGTAGCTGAGGTTGTTGACAACGTCATTAACATGCTGTTTATAATGTAATTATGTTGATGTCTTATTCCTGTCAAAAAAGAAGAAAAGCAGCAGTAGCTGCTTTCTTTCCACTTTTATTTTTTGTCTACCATCCTCTGATGGAAGGGGTTCACGTTCAGCAGGAGATAGGATCACTCGACTTTTTTTCTTTATAGTCCCTGTTTTCTTTGTGTGGCATCTTCAAACCATTTTGCAAAACTCAAATATTTCCCTGTCCCAATCATTTAAGTAAATGCGTTCAATATTCCGTGTTATTTTGCAAGTTTAAGTACTCGTAATGCAGCGAAGGCGTTCGCAGCAAATATCCGATTCTCATACGAGCGTTGTTCCAAAAGTAATTTCACAACCTTGATAAAACTGCTATAAATCGACATAAAGCAACAAAATTGTACATGATAGAAGCTTTATTTAATTCAGATCAGACCTGAAAAATTCAAAAATTCATAGATTTTAAATCTGATTTTAAACAATGTGCCTTTATGGTAGTCCCCGCATCTAAATAAAACGTCATATTACTAATACGCGCCGTTTTAATTTTAAGAGTTTCCCCTTCGTTTTATTAAAAATATTTGTGATTCCCAAACACTTTCACCAATTCCACTTTCTTTAAGAATTCTTGGTACCATTATACACCCACTTTTATCATAACCAAGTCCTCTGTCAAGTTTTTGAACAGTAGCATAAGACAAACTTAAAAAAAAATCACATCTCACTCTATACGTCTGTATTTTTTGACAACGTCAGACACCATTAAACGTTTCCGTCCGATCTTCTATCTTTTGGTCTTCTTGTCCTTTACTGATCATTCAGTGACCAATCACCCGCCCTAAATTGCTGAAAGCATCTACTAAGTACTCTCTTATTAACATTTTTTATTCTGTAAGTCTGATTAATTAACGTAACTGTCGCTTGTGATGATTCCCATATTTTAAGCCAAAATGCATTACAACTCGTCGAGCCTTTTTTTCCAATTCGACAATCCCTTTGTTCAATTCAACAGAGTAAAACAACAATGATTATGATCAAAAATACTAGTGCAGTCATTTAATTTTTTACTAAAGACTAGAAAATGACGAGGAATGTGTCTTGTATGAAAATGGAAGATTAAGTGCCTTTTTTAAATTCTTTTTAATGTGTTTGTGTTTTTCATTCTAAGAAAAAAAAATATACTTTAATACGTGATGTTCCGTTTTGACGCAGCGACACCCCCTATGCTCTATGTTTTAAACATCTATAAAAACAAATTCAAATAGTTATTTATAAATTAAAATTTTAATGTCTATTAGATTTATATTTGTGCATCTTTTGGTATATTGTATTTGATAATATGACGCCAAATATGAAAGATATGAACACTGTGACATTACTTTTAGATCAACCCTCGTATCTAATGGCGTTTACTCTCATATGTCCGTATCAGATCGTATATGAGCAAACAATACTTTGTCAACTCGTGAGCAGCGGGATCGACCACCCAAAGCCTCATAGATATTGACAAAACGTGACACATTGCAACGAATCGCAAACCGACGGGTGGTTTGTCCTGTCTGAGATCGATTGCAATGATGACGATATGAAAATACGGAAGCGTAAATGGCTCAGCAATTGTAGAGCCATTTACGCTTTCGTATGAAAACCAGTTTAGGTGCGTTTACTTACGATGCAGTTGAGGTAAGTTACGAATCCAAGCGGTCTGGTGCGTTGATAACGATTAAAATTTTATCATATTAGTGGCATTATTTTTTGCTTGTCAAAAAAAAAATTACGATC